GTGTCGTATGTATGAATCATACCCACGGTCTGATATCCTACGGACAACACTATCAGCACGTGTCATATCTGAGACTCTGATATTATATATACGTTTACTTCCACTGCGGGTCTAGTATAAATTATACATGGGGGATCTGGGAAGGCTACCAAAAATCGACTATAAATCAGATATCAATTAGATATCAATCAGATATCGATCAGATTTATATCTGATATGTATTCCTTTTCTAGTCGATTTGTAGTCAAATTCTGGTAGCAAAAAAATTGAATTTTGAAGAAATAGTTTCCCGGGACCCCCTCTTTTTTCATAGAGGGGTTGGGTCGCAGCAACAATCTACTGTAGTCAAACTAGTCGGAGATCTGGTAGCTAAGCGTACGTTGAAATTAGTCGTTTCGGAACGTCCCAGTCGTTAGCGAGCCAATAATGCTGTAATCATCGTGTCAAAATACCGGTACAGTAGATAATTAAACTAAATAGACTCGCACAGCAACGTGGATACGTACGTGTGACTAAGTACGGAGTAGCGAATCAGGAAAATACGAATCTCGCTAAAAAATAATAGGATCTATCACTTCACTTAGGTTTTGGTCGCTGATATTTTCAGATCCAGTGATCGCGGATCGCTAATAATTACTATTAGTATTCCAATGTGTGACACAAACCTGCACCAATTATGAAAATTAGGCAATTATGAAAAATCTGCATCCAACCAAGGAAAGGCGATCGTGAGGATAATACCTCCAGATGCAATTATCCTAAAGCTCATTATTCCGACTGATCATCCACCAAATCTTGCAGCACAAACGAAAATGAAGTTTGCATCTGGAATCTACACTCTTCTACTAGCAGGTGGTATCGCCACGGCAGATGGCATGTCCATCCGCGGCAACAGTAGGCATGCCAACAAACTCATGGCATTCTCTCGTAAATTAGAGGACGGCGGATCTGGAGACGGCGGGTCTGAAGATGATGAAGGATCACAAGATAATGAAGGATCACAAGATAACGAACAATCACAAGATAATGAGCAATCGCAGGATAATGAACAACAATCTCAAGACAACAACAATTCTGGAGATGAAAACAACACCAACTTCTTGAAAGATTATTCTATCAAGTTATTGACTTGCATCCAAGGAGAGCAAGCGATCAACTACGAGAATGGAGAGACAGAAAGCAGCACAGTTGTCTTCCGCCTTTGTCCTGTGGATTCCTGTGCATCGGATACACTGCTTGGTTGTGATGAAGGCTACGGCGACTATATTGTTGGCATCGACACATTCCTCGACGTCTATATGGAAAGCAAGAGAGAAGAAGGAGAAGGCGAAAACGGGAATCCAATGGTTGCCTACAATCAGTACGGACAAGAATTTGATGCCTCCGAATACATGGAATGTAGCGAATACAAAGCCGAAGAAATGAATGAAGAGCAACAGCAACAGCAATACAACTACAACAGTGGAGGAAACCAAAACCAATGGTATGCCAATTACCAAGACTCGTCATTCTACATTGGTCCAGGCTGCACCGAAGATGGAACCTCAATTTCACTCAATTTGTACACGGATGAGCAATGCTCTTACCCTGCCGAAGTAAATTTTACTGAGGTTTCACCTGGATGGCAATCGTTGCCTTTCTCGGAAGGCGACCTTGTAGAAATGAATTGCATGTCCTGCTATTCTCAAAATGAAAACTATGAATGGGAAATTAGCGAAATGTGCGAGCAAGAGTACACTTCTGCTGTTTCAAGTTGTGAGCAGTATTTGAACACCACCGCCAGCGGTTATTATCACTACCACGTGACGAGTGGCTGCGAGCACATTGATTCTATGGTAGCCAACTTCACTGAAGCCCAGCGCAAAAGTGCTTGGAGCACTATTAGTACCGCCGTCAGCAACACTGCCAGTACCGTCGGTACCGCTGTAAGTCAAACTGCGAGCACTGTAGGTACAGCAGTTGGAAACACCGCAAGTACCGTGGGTACTGCTGTTAGTAACACCGCTACTTCGGTTGGTAATGCTGCTGGTCCCACAGCTAAGGCAGCCTCCACCCGCTTCATGGATACGATGAGCACTCGAGAAGCTCGAGCGTTCATTGCTGCAATGGTCATTTTCTCCCTTTCTGCTCTATTCGGTGCTACACTTATCGGTTTCCTTTGTGTCAAGAAGAGGAGACAGCGAAGACGGCTAAAAAAATCTGCCGGCCTTCTCGATGACGAAGAATCGCCATCTGGTCCGGAAGATATCAAAAAGCGTCGCTCTTCGGTTGTTGCGTTGGTTCGATCTACCACAAATAGTGTTAGAGAATCCGTTGTAGCTGCTGCAAATGTCACGAAGGTAGCTGTAGCCACTGCTATTGCATCTAACGTTATAAGCGATGGTGAGAAGAAACCGAACGAAGATGATGACACCGTCAGATCATCCGATTACAACAACATGGAGGATCCTATCAATGCCACAGTCGGTTCTTTTTCGTGTACTATTGTTCCGGCAACTAGCGAAGCTGCTCCTACGACTGAAGAGACCACAGAAGAACCTGACGCTCCTATGAAAGCCGCACCAGAGCATGAAAGCGTTATAGAAAGCGAGCATGCTCCAAAAACAAAAAACAAATTTCTTTCCAAGATGGACAAGCATCTGAAGAAGAAGATGTCGAAGAAAAATGTCGCTGACGTGTAAGACAATAACATACCAAGATATTTGTGTACAAGATTTCAAAATGAATTGATCGAAAACCCATTCAGAAAAGAAGAAACGAATTCTTTCGAATATCTGATGAAAGTAATCATGGGAAATCTGTTGGAGGGTTACCCAATTACTCTTATTGCACAGGATTCATCCGTGCGACCTATATGTTTCACGAAACAACGTGTATTATTTTAATCTGTAGATAATTCAAATTATTCAAAAAATCACAGTAAAGCAAAATAGAGTTCTTCACGCGCTTTCACCGTGTTAGGTGTGTTAGCACTAGTGTTCACACGTTTCCCCCTTTATACTGCTTACTACTGAGGAATCTATCAGTGCTGACTATACCGCTAGCTAACTAGCTTCCACTGGGTTTATCTTACCACTACTGGAATGTCTGTATACATATTGGAAGAGATTGGGGTATATGTTGATAGCATCATGTGCTAGTAGTATAGCTTTCATTTCCTTGAAAGCCTTGTCACAGGCACTGGTCCAAATATGGGGTCCAGAGCCAGTCAGGGCTGTGAGGGGGGCCAAAAGGTGAGAACACCATGGCCACATGGAATTGTAGTAGTTAACTGCACCAAGAAAGGAACAAACTTGTTCCTGTTTGACTGGTACTCCCATCTTCAAAATGCCTTCAATTTTCTTCTGCCAAGGCATCACAACCTCAGGAGTCATCCAACAATAACCAAGGAAATCAGATTCCTCTACTGCCCGTGGGTTGAATTTCATGCCATTCTCAGCATGCAAGGTAATGAGAACTTTTGCTGGGGATCAGTTTGTTCAGTTTTCTTAAATCAACTAGCCATCTCACTCTTTGGGTAGTATAATAAAGGTAGTAGGCAATCCTAATTCAGAATTGATTGTGGGTGCAAGAATCACAACCTTATCTACTACTAGGTGTTGACACTCCTTCTTAAACACTAGATGGCTGGCAGTACTTTGTTGAGCAATATTTCCATAGACCTCACCACTGACGTTTTGTGGCTTTGTTCCTCTGGGACGTGTTTTCGATTCGCAGCACTCAAAACTGTAGTCATACTGAGTCCTTGAGTCTAAGTAATCGTTTCCAACCGATGCCGATTAAATATATTTATGCCTCAACCTTTACTCGAACACGGATTTTCGAATATTATTATTATCGTACACGTATAAAAGCATTTCGTAATCTGATCGCAGAATTTAATAATCCAAGCGTTAAATTCTCCTCACAAGAAAACGGTGATCCAACACATCGGACGGCCCAAAAAAAGGAAGAGCATCATCAACTGACTCGGCTAAAAGGACGAGCAATCGAAACAAAAACGGAGATTGACGGATAAATGACCCCATAGTGTGTGAAAAAAAGTTGAGACTGATCAGAAGAATATAGAAATACCATCGTAAATTGAAGTGCGAAAGCATTGTGTTACAAATCCACCAGCAAGATGTTGACTTTCCGCAACAGGAAACAGCTTTTGCTAATCACAATCACAGCACTTGTTGCACTCATCAATATTCCGTCGATATGCTGTCTTCATATGGACGTTGATATCAGCAGAGGTGATAAAAATCAATCTGAACACGATCTCGAGAAACGTAGAGATCTAAAGAGCGATAAAAAGGATCCGAAAAAATCCAAAGCGAAAAGCAGCAAAGAATCCAAGAGTTCGAAAAATGGGAAGAAATCAAAAATTACCAAGGAAAAACCGAAGAGCAATAACGAAAAGGAGAGTGCTGAAAAGTCTAAAAAGGAAAATGTGGAATCTAGGTCTATAGTTTCGAGCACTCTAGGCGCACGCAATAGTATCAATAGAGGCAATTCCGTCACTTTCGACTCCATCCCGACGGCTCCACCAGTTGAAAGCCCAGGAGTCAATGCACCTGGTGTGGATAGAGGATCAAGTCCTCTTGGAGGTGGTACGCCCGTCCCTACATCAGAAAATCGTCCTCAAAACAACCCGGCGAACAATCAATTTGCTAATAGACCGGGAGGTACAACATTTGATCGTCCAACTCCGGCACCCATACGACAATTCAACAACCCAGATCTTCCTTATCTAGGAGGATCGATTCCACGACCTGGATCATATCCTGCTACAGAGAACACTTCAGGTGGCGTAATACGGGCACCTACTCTTCGACCAACTTATCGAAGATATCCGACCACTCCTCCGGCCGATGCTCCAGTTGTAACCATACCAGTAGGAAGGCCAGGCTCGTATTTGAATCCAAACACAGATTCTCCTACCGGATATCCCAGTGAAAGCCCTAGCAATGGACCTTCTGAAAGACCAACA